GCGCTGGGCCGGGGCCCGGGGTGCGCTGGGCCGCGGGCTGGGGCCAGGCCGGGGCCCGGCAGTGCTGGGCCGGGGGTGCTGGGCCGGGGGCCGGCGGTGCTGGGCCGGGGGTGCTCGGCTGGTGGCTGGCACCCCTGGGCCCGAGCCGAGCCAGGCTGGAGATGCCGGGGCCGGCCGCCGGAGGGAGCCGCTCCGTTGGGGGGGCCAGACTGGGCTGCGCCTCCTACCCCCACCCCCTCCAGCTTACCTGCTGCCTGCTTCAGGCTTCCCGCGAATCAAATGTTCGCGGGAAGCAGGGGAGGGGGCGGAGTTGGGGAGGGGACTTTGGGGAAGGGGTGGAGTTGGGGTGGGAGCGTGGGCGGGGCTGTGGGCGGGGCCGGGGCCCCGTGGAGTGTCCTCTTTTTGGACACTCAAAATATGGTAACCCTAATAATATTCTCACTAATATACTGACACTCAATTCCCACACACAACTTGTTTTACTTTTCAAAACTCTTACCTCTTTGTGACACTCTTTGAGCAGACTGATAACTCGGTTACATTCTTCACTGTGCAGGTGAGGAGACAAGTCTGGATGCATCTTGAGTTAAGGGTTTCTCGTGCAGTTCATGGACTACAATTTGAAAAATGTTCCACCTGCAAATATTAACATATGAAAGTACATCTTAAAGTCTAACACATTTCCATTTAGGAAGTCCTTGCAGTTCACTAATAGAAATAACTTAATTTTAATCAAAACCAGAACATAATGACATCCCAAATTGTTTATTTAGGTTATAATTTGATTTAACAAAGTACGTAGTTAAAAATGAAAATGTAGCATATGCCTGCCTCTGCCTTTCTGTTATTCATTTATGGACTGCCTACGTGATTAAAGTTAAGCACACACTTAAGAGCTTTGTGGGATCAAGGTTCTCTATGTGTTTCATGTATCAAAGGGGTAGCCGTGTTAGTCTGGATCTGTAAAAGCAGCAAAGAGTCCTGTGGCACCTTATAGACTAACAGACGTATAGGAGCATGAGCTTTCATGGGTGAATACCCACTTCTTCGGATGCATGTGAAGAAATGGGTATTCACCCACGAAAGCTCATGCTCCTATACGTCTGTTAATCTATAAGGTGCCACAGGACTCTTTGCTGCTTTTATGTGTTTCATGGCATTTGGGAGTTGTTGAAGATGAAATAATCTTTCTCCTTGCTGCTGTCCGTTCCTCCTCCATTTTCTAGCTTCTTTAGTGGAAGGTAAAAACTAAAACTATGGTCTATTTTCACTACACGTCCACTACCCATGTGGGTATAGGGCAGTATACATGTCACCTGGTATTCTGGTATTTCTACAGTACTTTGAATCACTGGCTTTTTTATTTGTGCCTAGGTATCTGAGTTAAAATGCAAAATTTAATTAACTGATCTTGACTGACTGGAGACGGTGGTGGAGAAAAGGGTCAAATTTTGAGTAGCTAAGTTACACTGATATGCTTTGGAAGCATGTCCCTGTACTTCACTCAGAATTTTGGCTATGCAACACCCACTGCTTTAACAGGAATCACAAAATAAAGCCTTATGCAATATTTTTAAAATTTATCCCAAGGGGTTAACAAACCCACAAGCAGAAAAATTAAGGCTGAACAGTCATCCTTAATAACTATTGTATCTGGAAGTTTTGCAGTGCATATGGTATTTCAGATAGTATTGTCCTTCAGAAAGCAACATCGTCTTTGTCTTGATCCTGCAGAGAAGTCCATAATCCTGTTTCGATTACACTGGGTCCAGTCCTACATTGTGCTGAGCACCTTCAACTCCAGTGAAATCACTGGATGTTAACCAAGTAAAAATACTATCCCTTTAGAGAGATTAGAGGAAGAGAGTGGTGGGATATATTGGGGTGCAGGAGGAAATCACTGCATAATACTAGAGAATGGCATACAGCGAGACTGGGGGGGCATAAATGGGAGAAGAAAAGACAAAGAAACTGAAGAAGAGGTAGAGAACACAATGTGAGGAAAGAGAAAAAGCCAGTTATGATGGTATCAATCCAGCACCTTTTAATCATTTCACAGATAGACTTTTATCTATTTTATTCAAAGATTTAAAAGTATCTGAAGAAAGATTAGTGAGCAAAACCACACACATCCAGAAGCGTGCTAGCATATCAAAATAGAAATGAGCTCTACCCTTTGGTGGACACAGACACATTCTGATTTTGTTTAGCAACTACAGTACTACAAAAATGTACTTGGTGATTAAGAAAAAAAATCACGTCCCAAAAATAAAATACTGTGTATACAATTTAAAATTTCTTGTTAATTATAAAATAGTTAAAGAAATCTTATTAAGGCTACACTTTAGGTTTTGTTTAAAGTGCTGCAACAAAATCTAATATTAATACAAATGCTCAGTGATTAATTTTAATTTAATGAACAGTTTTGGGAAGGGGATTTAGATATTACCCCAAATTGTTTGCAATCCAAATGAACAGTGTCATGCTAACAAAAATAACAGTAACAATCAGCTTTTTTGTTTAGAGTTAGAGTGCAAACTAAATAGCAAAATGATTAACACAAGTTATATTTGTAAGCTTTTCAGCTCTAACCATTCCCGTTAACATAGCTATCACCTCTCACAGAGGTGGATTAACTATGCCAACGGGAGAAGTTCTCCTGTCAGCATAGCAGTGTCTTCTCTAAAGCGCTACAGTAGCACATAGTTTTAAGTGTAGACCTGTCCTAATAAAAGGGTTGCTCTAAAATATTTATCGTATCTTATTAGCTAAAAGTGTCTTCTCTATTAGTTACTAAAATTACAAATATATTACATTTGACTACAAGTTATGTTTATAAGTTGGCACTTAGCAGCACTTTTTTTCTTCAAAGTGCTTTATATCAAAAAACCTCAATTTTTAGAGGCTAAAGTTTGCAGCAAGTAGTAAATATCAAGATCATATTTGCTACATAAATGTGCATAATAGGAAAAAAGATAAGACTTCTAGAGAGGTTACATGAAAGGATACTAGCTCCACTCCAAGACATGTAATCATCTGAGTTCATCTTTGACAAATCCCCAAAACAACAGGGAAACTAAAAATAGAAACACACAGTGAATTAGCAAGTAGCAAGTGTCATTAAAGTGGTAACTAAGGGCTTGTCAACACTACACAGCTTTTAAAGACAAGGCTGTGTCGACACAGCCTTGTCGCTAAAAGTCAGCATGTGTAAACGCTCTTTGTCAGCACTTTTGCCAACAAAATACTTCTAGCCCCGCGAGCAGTGTTAAGCTATGTCGGCAGGAGAGCGCTCCTGCCGACAAAGCTGCGTTCACACTGCCACTTGCGTCGGCAAAACTTTTGTCTTTCGTGGGGGGGGGAGGGCTTTTTTAAGTACCTGTGAAGGACAAAAGTTTTGTCAACAATTTTGCAGTGTAGACATACCCTAAGCCTCATTATCATCTACCATATTTGCACAACACACTTTGATTAAAGGTGATCTAAATAGTTGACATACTGAATTCAAATACATAATCCACTGACTGAAGCTCTCTATTTAAAAAAATATTTCATTGCTTATTAGAACGATCTGGCCTGTAGAATGCTACAAGGAAATACAAATTAGATCATCCCCATTCTAGAAAGAGGCTTTCATGTCACTTCCCATCTTAAGTAATAAATGTTGAGATAACTGCTGTTCCTACTGCACACTATTCAACAGCCAGAAATGTGGCAAAGCACATGAAGTTAAACTAAACTTATGTCTACACTACAAACGTCTGCTGGCATAGTTACATCAATTGGGGATGTGAAGAGGTTTTGATCCCTGACATAGCTGTGCTGGCAGAAGGCCCTAGTGTAGACACAGTTATACTGGCAAAACTATACTTGTACTAGTATAGCTTGTTTTGTTTGGGGATAACAATATAAGCTATACCAGTGAAAGTGCAGCTTTGCAAATACAATTGCGTCTGCACTAGGAGGGCTTTGCTGTATAGCATATCAGTATAGGTACACCACTGAACTGCTCCATGAAGAGACATGGCCTAACACTGAAGATAAATAATCTGTTATGAGAGGGGCCCTCTGTGACCCTAAGAACATCCCAATGCCACAGGGCAAGGGGCTTCCTGGTATGTAGCAATGTGTCTCAGCTGGCCTGCCCACCTTTGTGTGCACCCCACACACTGTTGTCATGATATTTATTTAGAAGGTGTCTTGTATCAAAAACTAGTAACTCACTAGTATCTAGAATATACTCAAACTAGTAACTCACTGATCATTAGTATTCTTGCATGGTGTATGTACAGTTGACATGTAAAAAGCTATACAGATGTTCTGGAAAATATGTCCCTCAAATGTATTTGGCAGACAGTGCCTAATCCCAGTGGGTCCTAGACAAAGCAATGTTGTTTTGTAGGCTTGACTACAGTCTCCAATGTAAATGAAGATATGACCTCAGACAATGAAAAGCACATTCACATGCAAGGTAAAAAAAAGCCATCAGGCAAGCAAGTGGGGGAAGATGATCACTTAATTTCAATGGGGTTGGTGACTGCACTCACAAGAAGCCTTCCTGCCTCGTGGAACAGGATCAGTAAACTCTGGGAAGATATAAGCAAAGGCAAAGTCATTTTATTCTTCACCTTTCAGACAAAGTAACCAAGTGCTTTGGTCTCTGCATTGGATCCTGGCTAAAGACTGGTCAGCCATGCTGGAAGAATGACTATGGTGAGAAAACTACTTTGAATGAAAGACTCAGGGCCGGTGCAACCCATTAGGCGACCGGCACTACAATTTGGGGGCAGCGACCGCGGCGGTATTTTGGTGGTGGGACCTTCCGCCGCCTCTGTGGGGGGCAGCATTTCGGGGCAGGACCTTCCGCTGCCTAGGGCGGCAGAAAAGCTGGCAGCGCTCCTGGAAAGACTAGTTTATTAAATCAGATTTTAGTCTAGTTGTTTGTAACCATTTCTATCCTTACTCCTTCTACTTAGTACCACTTAAATCTATGTTCTATTGTTAATAAATTTGTTTTACTTTTACTATACACCAACTCAGTGCTGTGTATTTCAAATGGAGGCTGTGTTAATCTCAGTTAAGCTAACAGGCTGCTGTGTACTGTCACTTTAAAAGAGCAGCAAACTTGAGGTGGTTTTGTGAGTGCTACCATGAGAGGGAGCTGAGCACAGCAGGGAAATGCTTTTGGGGACAATTCTGGGTTACAAGGGTTAGTGAGATCCTCCTGCAAACGGTAATTGAGCAGTGGAAGCCAGAGTGAGACTTTCTTGCTTGTATGGTGGGTGTTGGTGACATGGCTGTGAGCCACAGCTGTATAGCATTTAAGGCACCCAGAGTTGCAAGACTGAACCCCTTACTGGCCTGGGTGAATCCCAAAGCATCACACCTTCCACATCAGGGTTAGATTTGCTGAGTAAGTGCCTGACCCTGCAATCAGTTCTTCAAAGAACTCCACATAGGAATAAACATATATACAAGAGTAACTGTTGACAACAGTTGGGACTGAAGGGAATATTGCAAGCTATCAGGGCTAGTCTACACTGGCAACGCTGAAGCGCTGCCGCGGCAGCGCTTTAACGTGGCTTCTGTAGTCGCAACAGAGTGCTTGGAGAGAGCTCTCCTAGCGCTCTAAAAAA